CTATCCAGTCATACTGGTCAGCGATGGATGTATGGTATAAGTTTGTACCTTGGTATGAGGTTCTTTCACACTGCGGTGCGGTTACAGTTCAGGTTAGCCTTAATAATGACAAAAAAAGGTACCGTAGTCCAACATTTACACAAAGAAAAGTTCAGTAACTTTCTTAGTAATATTTTATAATTTGTAAAAGAATCATATTTATTTACAAAAACATCAATGTAAGTTATGTATGTGTCCTCTTTTATGAAGTCCCTGTGTTTAGAAAAAAATAAATTGTTAGATGGTAGGGCCTGCCTTGTTTTGTTTGTTAATTGTCATTATCAAACTGAACTATACTAATCTAAACAACCGTAAATGCTGTAGCGCACTGCAAAAGAGTGCTAGCTCTCTTCTTGAAAATACCTAACTTACAACAGAAAATCAATATATAAGTTATTGGTCAAATTTAATAATTTAATCAATATTTATATCAAACTAATATTTCATGAGATGACATATCATCAGGTACTAGGAACAGTACCAAGGTCATAACTAGCATAGGTACTGTACCTGATAACACATTTTTTCTGTAAATGTGCCACATTTTATTTTCAAATCGGTATTACTGGTAATCTCATTGTTGGAAGATAAAAGTTTAGATGGAAGTGAGAGCTCAAGAAGTTGGTGTCTTCTAGTGTTTGAACATGATACACAGATGCTGTCTGTTCCGGTAGATTCAACTTGTTGTATTGGTTGCTCCAGTTCAAACATATGTAAATTTTCATATCTGGAAGATACATTTAAAGGAGTAAGCATATTAATTTCACAATCACGAGTTTAAACTTAAACACTAAGTCATGTGCATAGTGAATGTTTTAGGCCTAGTAATCTTATACACAGAGAATACGCGTCCGGTAACCGGTTGTGGATTAGGCGTCCGGCAGTGACGTCACCAGGTTGTAGGGGCCCGGAACACCATTACCACAACGATACAATATACAGCCATCGGTTTCGTGGTGTAGTGGATAGAGTGCTCGACTGATACTGTATTTAAGAGGTCCATGGTTCGAATTCCATCGGTAATTTTATCTTTTCGTCAAAGATTTTGCTTTGAATTTGTTCTTGACTGTACATCTTTTGTTAGAATTTTTGGCATTTATAATTTTATTTTATGAACAGAATTTAACCTTCATTCGATTTTTTCACTATCAGTAAGTTTGGTTGGTTAGGTTAGGTTATGACAGTAGGTAACTGCCGGATGCCTAATCCACGTCCCCGGTATATTACTTATATTATACACGTATATATAGGCCTACACGTATTTATACATGTATATACCTATATTAAACGTATATTAGCACATACCTGTCACACAAGATCAAACCTACACAAATGGTGTTTGTGTGTCATTACCTGTCACACAAGATTTGATGGATTGGCGAAATCACCAACTAGGCCTAATATTTGTTTGCAGTATGAATAATGGTACCTATAGGTACATTATTTGGATTAAAGATAAGGTAAAACAACTATAAAGTAATTTCCACACTATAATGATGATAAATAATAAGTTAACGTCCTGAATTCTAAAACGACTGTCGTTTTGTCTGAAAAAGTCAAATAAACAAAAAATATTGGATAAACGACCGAAATTTTTCTACTATCAAATTCCCTACATTGAGGTCAGGCCTATTAAATTGTAAAGCATTTCACCCTGAATGTGATTTTTATATTTTGACAATTTATGCCTTATAAAAGCTGAAAATATGTACAGTGCTAGGCTTAAATAGGTCTACAGTAAACAGTACCTTGAAATTGAATCATAGAACCAGTCTTCATCAGTTATCTCCATTTTAGTCAAATGAAAATATGGAGTGGGGTTTTAGTAGCCTTCAAACTATTTCCTAATCATAAGTTTTTTCATACATCTTATAAAAACAAAAATGTACTTTCTGGTTTTAGCCTATGTATTTTAAGTTTATTATAAATTTCACCTAACCTAGAATAATAGAATAACCAAACCATCAATACAGTGTCTTTATAATAACAAAAAAATCAACTTCTTCTTCTTTTTAAGCTGATGGCTAGGCTGTGGCTTTTAAAAATTCATGCAGCCTCGAGGTACCCTAAATGTAGTTGCTTCCGGTGTGTCAATGGTTAATCCAATTCAATTCAATTCAATTCATTTATTTCCACGGTAACACCATTTTTACAAGAGGTACAGTAAGTAGTAGCTATCAAACTCAAATTTAACAACAAATAAAGGCTATTCTGAATAAATTACAATAACAAGAACAAGAAAAACATATCAACAATGAAGATGGAAACCATGATAAATTTTTTAAAACAATAACAAAACAAGACTTAACAAAACAATAAATACACGGTTTGGAATCCTCTAAGCAAGACTTAACATGGCAAAAACAGATATAAATACTAAAGTGACAAAAATAAATAGCTGATCGAAGGTTGAGCACAGTGCCGTTAACATGATGTAGGCATTAACTACAAATTATTTACAGAGAAGAGGCGACACAGATTGGAGCGGAAAGCAGCCACGCTGGAACGGTGAAAATCCAACACTGCGCCGACCTCGTTGCCGACCCACAAAAGGCGAGGGATAGTGCTTCGCTGTAAATATACAGTATTGTAGTGCCTCCGCTCAAACGTATCCTTGGATCTTGTGCGGACAGGAACGTGGAATGGTATTCCTCCCAAAAGCTCAGGGCAGTCGATATTTCCACTTACAATCTTCATGAGAAACAGAGCGTCCGAAATTTTCCTCCGATCTTCCAAGCAGCATAGATTAAACTGAGATCTGATGAGATTCACGGGAGCATCAAGGTAGCGATATCCCATTCTGCAGCCAAGGACCCTAATGATCTAAATCTGTTATTTTATCAGTTTAATGATTAATGTATTACAGTTTAATACTCTAATACTACAAAAACAATACATGGATGGATACAAAAATGTACTAAAAGCAATGTTGCCTCAAAAAGTTATACTGTAAGAACGAAAGATAAAAACATACTCCCTAAGTATATTTTTTTCATCCTTATCGAACAGCTGAAGCCAATGTTATTGTTAGTTCTGACTGGTGCACTGCGAAACGGCACACGGAAGATTTCTCAGGTACCGTTTGACGTCACTAACTGCTGACGTCACTTTGAGGGAACACCAATACCGCAACGATACGGTGTTGAGACATCGGCCTCGGTGGTGTAGTGGGTAGCGTGGCGGGCTGATAATCCGAATCAACAGGGTTCGAATCCCTCTGGTAGCACTAACTTTTTGTCAACAATTTTTTTCATATCAGCAAGTTTGGTTGGTTTGGTTAGGTTATGACAGTTTAATTTTATAATTAAAAAATTATAAAGTTGAATTTTAGGCATTTATAATTTTATTTTTTGAACAAAACTATTTTTTAGATGAGTAAACCTTCATTTGATTTTTCCATTATCAGCACGTTTGGTTAGTTTGGTTATGTTATGACAGTTTAATTTAATAATAGAAAAATTATAAAATTGTCTGTTTCTGACGCGTCTGTTCAGACGCAGCAGTTAGTGACGTCAGTAGTTAGTGACGTCAAACGGCACCTGAGAAATCTTCCGTGTGCCCCACCGGGTGCACTGTAGAAGTCGTGTTTTGTTGACAATTTGTTTCTTGTTTTTTTTAGTAATTAAAAACTTGATTTAACCTAAACAAATGATCTAATCATAAACAATAACTCGTCCTCTAGTTATATAGCCAAATATTAAAGCACATATCAATAAAATAAACCCTAAAATAATAGAAACACAATTTTGTCAACACTAGCGATCAGTTATTCAGTGTCACCGGACATGAACTAGACACGAAAAACGAGCTTTCTGCTTAGCATTATATAAAGGGCGGGAAAGTGTTGTGTTTCTAATTAGGACGGACTAGTCTCTTTCTAACCAGTGTACGGTAAAATAATATAATATAATTGATTGTCATAGACATATTTGATTAGCATTGACTAAATAAATTAATGTCAAAACTAGTTAGTAAAATCATTTGTTCCAACAAAAGTTTCGTAGAAAAAAATAATGAGTCACCAATAAGGTGCCACCCCGGCAACCGTGAAAAACCCATGACGGTGGGTTAATAGTCATATACCACGGGGGTTTTTTGTGGCAGGTTTTCATGTCATGTACGTACCCGACAAACCGCCACCAAATTTTTAGTGGCGGGATTTAGATTAAAATTGAGTATGTTATATACTCCATCTGAACAAGATGGTATAACCCCCATTGCTGAAAATACGGTTGAAAAGCTTTATTGTAGCCTTTGTGATTTTTCCCATAAAATCTAATTCACCGAATAAATACAACAAGATAAGTGACAATCAAGCAATATAGATATAGAAATTAATCTACAAGCAAATCAAGACATAAAAATAAATTTTACTTGATTTAAACATTCATCGTGGCTAAGATGTTAGTTTGTGGACTTAAACTACTCTAAGTGTGTGTGTGTGTGTTTGTGTGTGGAAAAGCCCATGGACTAAAATTAAAATACTTAGGCTGTACAGGACTTGACTTGACGACAATGAATTTCCAATATGGTTAAGTTGTTTTAGCGTCGAGAGAGGTCCATTACTTATGGTTACAAAATGATGCCATCTGTCGATCTGATTTAACAAATTTTAAACAAAAAAAACCAATGTTATTTCTGTAGAGGAGAGGAACTTACAATGTCTAAGATTTAGCCATACCATGTAGCAAATGTATAGCAGGTAGCAGGGCTATGCAGGTTGAAAAACTATAGAAGTGAATATTAATATTTTTTGGCTCAATTCCTGTTGAACGAGAAGAAGAAGAAGAGACGAACATATTTCCCGCGCTCCCACATAAAAACAGCTGACCCCCCTCCCAATTCTCAACAACCCCGCCCGAACCCACTCCCACTCCACTCCACAGCCGTCCAGCCAGAGCCGGTGTTTTGTTTGGTTGGTTGGTAAAAAGTGAGCGAGTGTGTGTCGTTGTGATACTGTGATAGTGATAGTGTCTAGTGCTAGTGAGTGGCAGTGGCAGTCGGTTTTTCAGTGCCGCGTCGAGTGGTTGTCCCTTTCCTACACACCACCTACTATCATACACACGTGGCTGCATTACAGGTTAGATAAAAACTATATTCCTGTTTCATATTATGAATAATATTTTCAAATGTAAATTCTCAACGGTGGGTATTTTTTGTGAATTTACAGGCAAAATCATGATAATTTTGATTTTAAAATTTACTTGTCTTTCGTTACTGTACAATCAATTAATTTAGTCAATGAAAATGCAAATCTCTTCCAAAATGCACTGTATCCAATTTGTAGACTTTTTGATTATAATTCAATTGTACGCCATAATGCCATATGTATCTGTATCGTCGCGCAGCACTTGGGTACTTCACTTAGCCTACAGCCACCTGTTTTACTTATCAATCACACTTATTTTCCTAATTTGTTTCTTACTTTGGACAAGTTATTTGTTAACAAATGGTTAAATGTTATAACTACCTATTAGTTTAATTCAACATAGGTTTTCTGTAATTTTTTTTAAAGGCTTCTAATTCGACACTATGTATTAGCACAGAAAACGTACTAAGTACGTTTTCTGTGGTATTAGTTAGGATTTTAGGTATATTATCCAATACAATCCCTTGTCGGATTTAAATGAATTAAAAAATAACTAGGCCTATTAATTAATTAGTTAGGAATAACGAATAACTTACATTTCAATATCTCATTGTGGAACTGCCCAAAAGCTAAGATTTTAAGCCAAGGCTATTAGTATTTCTTTCTGTAAGTGATAAGCCTATGCCACTAGCTCAAAACATGTTGTTTTACCACAATCAGTTACTTTTGGCAGTAAATCATTTTTATTTATTTTATTTGTTGAAAAAACTACATTATTATTAGTGTTGTATCTAATAATAAAATTATCATATAATTTAACATAATATGCTCGTTTTTATGCGAGCACCATATTCCCAATAAGAAATTTATATTTGTTTGTAAATATATTACTCAATATGTTTTGAAATAAATTGAATTTAAATTACTTTGGATGAGTGGTAATAGGCCATTGTGAAAACAGAAACAGAAATATGAAAACAAAAATCGTAGGATTGATACAGTTTAAGAATTTTCATACTTGAATAAACGTTGTATTAACTTTGTTGTGATGGAATTTATTGGAAAATTATCTTGTACGATACATTCTGTACATATTAGAAGATACATTGTATGTACCATCGTCAGTTCATAGTACATTAGTTTGTCGGGGTCAACGTCCGCGCACATTTAAACTTGTGCATCGGTCAATATTTGTATACAGCGGTACAGTAGTGTTTACACTGCTTGGATTGGGTAAATGAAACCAAATGACGTACAAAGTGTAGCACTATGAAAAATAATTAGTACTTTACTTTAAAATCATTTTCTGTCGTTTAATATCCCAACGAATTTCTTACTTTGACTAGGAATTGGCAATGATATACCGGTAAGCATTAGAGTTAAGTATTTTTCTTGTTTAAAATATAATTTTCTTTGGTCTCTCGACACAAACGATTGTTTTTCTCATTGCTAGAACTAGGGGTTGCAGCATTATCACCTAGATAAAATCCATTGGTGTATTTTTCTGTATGTATTTAAACCGTCAAAACAAGTCCCATAAATGTCAAGCAAGATTTTATCACATGCCAGTGAACATAATTGCACATACAGATTTATTTCAAAATGTTTCATAATTCATTTCAGTCAGTCATGTTTTATTCTCAAGATACGTAGCCAATATTTTTTTGTCCAGCAGTTTGTTAAGCTATTTGGTGAATTTGTGCAAAGACAATAAATTAAGAATGGGTGGATGATACCGGAATTGTAGTTGATAACATTGTCAATGTTTCAAGGACGTGAAAGGAAATGAATTGCGGTCAGTTACGTAACCTCATATTGAGTCTAGTCTCTTTCTGTGGTCTATTTTACAATCTTATCTAGTTAAAATGAATCGATACGAATGATACTAATGTCAAATTATTAAAATAATGTGGCCTATATACCTTTTTCCTTCATAACAGAATATAAGTTACCATGAAACGTGTAAATTATTACTTTTGTTTGGATACAGTTTTATACTGACTTCGAAATTGTAAATGTAAACCAATAACTATAGAGGTCATTGTATAATAATTATTTCGTTGCATTTAATTGAACTATGTAGGGTTGAAGTTAATTTGCAAACTATATTTGTTTGTCCAACAAACAGTTTAACCTACATATTAGCTTCAGACCACCCTGTCGTAATATTTAGTCATCATTGTGTTATTCCATTCGCCATTGTGTTAAGTCATAAGTCATTTATTTGGCCAGATTTACATTAATGCATTGGCTAAGTCAATATACATAAAAAATACAGAGTGTCTTATAAACCATAAAATAACTACTAAACTAAACAATATTTACATGCAATCAATTCATGAACCAAGCATACCATATTAGCCCAGTCAAATTAGCTTTAAAATTCATAAAGAAAAACAAAAAATGGTATAGTTTTGGAAATTGGGTTAAAATGTCAGTTAAGGCTTCTACTTTATCATACTAAAAGTCCCCTAACGTGAGACTTGAGCTTTCGCCGCCATCTTGGATTTTAGGTACAATTTTCTGTTTATTCTAAATTTTCTCATAAAGTATTAATATTTTATATACCACATGCAATTACAAAACTAAAGTACACAAAATTTGCTACAAAAGTTGTATTTACAGTTTTCTTGTAATCCCAACTGTTTTAGAGAAATATGTACTTAAATATGTAATTTTATTAATTTTTAGGTACATTTTTTTAGTTTTTCTAAATTATCTCAACAACTAATAATATTTGACATAGCATATATAATTGCAAAGTTGAAGTACACAAATTTTACTACAAAATGCGTGTTTAATACTGTTCAGTAACTGTGTTCCGTTTGAGAAATATATGCACATTAATATGATAATTATTTAATTTGTTTGTCATTTAGCCCTGCATGTGGGCTATTATTAAAGAGTATATTATATAAACTTTATGTTATGATATAAATCACCCTCTGGTGCCAATTATTTACAATAGTTATACACATTATTGTATATTAATAGTTTTAGGGGTGGTTGACCATTATTATTATTATTATTATTATTATTATTATTATTATTATTATTATTATTTATAGAGTACTATTTCTTTTTGGTCTCTTTTACAACGACCTGTTTAAAATCCGTGCAACCTCTTGGATGACTCTTTATTTGGTTAATGGTGTTAACCATTTGCATACAATTTAATTGTATCCCATTAATAATCTTGAAAATCGGCCTGTGGGGCAGAGCCCTAAGAGAGTTCGTACATACCAATATTTTTTGGCAAATCTACACACTCTGAGCTTCATTTTGATGGGTCATAACCTTATACTTTTAATTGATTAATGGTCTCAACCATTTATAATAAAATTAGATTGCATCACTTAAATAATATAACATATTGGAATTCGGCCTGTGGGGCAGAGCCCTAAGAGAATTCGTTCATACCAATACTTTTTGGCAAATTTACACACTCTGACCTTCATTGTGATGTGCTATATGTAGTGATGTAAAATACCTGGGTATTTAAAACTCGGGGTAAATACCCTGGGTATTTACCCGGGTAAATACCCAAAATCCATAAATACCCGGGTATTTTGGGTATTTATGAAATCAATTTAAATTTGTTTATATTTACCCCTAAATATGTTATTGTTATCACTACATGATAAATTAGGATAGCCTATAACACCTTTTACAGTAACTTGAAGCTTTGATAGTACCTTTTATTTAATGACTTAGCACTTTTTTTGTAAATAATACATAAAGTTTCTTAATAAGCATGGGGTTTCGTGTCTTAAATCGAGTAACATCAGTTAAATTTAACATAATAAAAAATAGGATATTAAAAAAGGCTGTGGCTATTTCAATTTTTATCATTTTATAAATTTACTAGCTGTACCCGCGGGCTTTTCCCCGTTTAACTTCAAGTGAGCTCGTTCGCATGGCTCAATCACGTCCTGGTTGAAGTTCGTTCACTCACCTTTTGGTTGCGAATTGGCTGTAGTCATAAATTTATAAAATAATAGTGCTGCACCCTGTTGGTAATCCTTGTAACTTTAATGCTATTGAACATCATAGAACAGAACCAACTTGTTTACTTGAAACAGCTGTTAAGAAATTCCTTTTAAATATGAAAAATCATAAGGTTAACATGGGAAACTCCAGAGCCACTGGGGTGGAGCCCGAAAGCCCGATCAGAATAAAAACTACCTAGTTTTCTTATTTAATGCCCAAAGAATCGGTGTACCGAATTTCAGCCTCCTAGGTAAATGGGAAGTGGGAGAATTAGTGATGAGTGAGTGAGTGAGTGAGTGAGTCAGTCAGTGAGGGCTTTGCCTTTTATATATTTAGATAACCATAACATAAACAGGCTGGGCGTGCAGGTGTGCAGTAATAAAACAAGCCTGTGATGCTACCTTTGATTGAGAATGCTAGAAACTAAACACTCTCTATGAAATGAAATCAAAACAACACCTCATCAGAGAAATAGTGAACCTACTTTTACTGTTATTTAATTATGATAGTTAAAATTTCTATTGTATAAATGGCTTGGAAGGCTAGACAGACCTAAGCCTGATTGACATAGGCAGAATGGCAGAATACTAAAAGTAATTAAACTTTTCTGTGTTACCGCTTAGTTGGAAACAATAATATATTTGGATAAACCTACTAAAAAAATGTAACTCCTGTTTTTTGGTCTAACTTAATATAATTTTGGAAGATTTATTGTGCTATAGATTCAAATGTTTTGTATCACAAGTTTATGAAATTAGGTTTTTTTTTATTTTGATACCATTGATACCAACAAAAGATCTAGAACAAAAATATTATTAAATCCTGCCATATCCTACAGATTGAATTTTAATTATTTTCATAAGTTGTTTACACATAGGCCACTACTAGGTTAAATCTTCCTGTCATTCTTTCTAAATAATAATTATTACTTTACAAATTATTTTTCTTCACTTCCAATAAAATAAATTCATTTATCTATCATATTTGGAAGAAAGAAATTA